GAAAATTACTCTGAATTAAAAACACTTATTTATTGAACAGGATGTAATAATTTCATATTTAAAGCACTTTCAGAAGTTTGTATTCTGAATACCACCGGACTTTTCCTTTAAGCTAATTTTGGTTTTATAATGAAGAAGCAAACAGGTGGATGAGGACATTTAAGACATTTAAGCGGTCAACTTAAACGAGGAGAATTATTCTTCCCTTGTGAAGAAACAGAAAAATACTAGAGAAGCGGTTTCCCACCTTTAAACCTCAAAACATCTATTTCTCTACGGACTTGTTAATATTAGCTGGGCAGCATTATATGGAGGCTGAAAATGGATAAATACTGTCAACTGGGAACATAAACAAAAAAAGATTCTAAAAACAGTGAAATCACTTGACAATAACTTAACATAGAGGCATCTCCGTTACACAAACGTCACAAGAAGAAGAAAAGAACAAATATTTCCGTTTTTAGATGTTTTAATGGCAGTTATAAAATACAATAACACAATAAGAAACACAATAACAATATATTTATTATGATAAATATTATTGCATGTTATCATTAACAAACTACCATGTTATTATTATGCTGTCTTAATACATATATCAGTACATTTATATGAAAATAATAATATTGTTAGTGGTATTAGTATTAGTTTGCATTATTAATGTAAGAAGTATTTGCAGTAGTGCTGTTACTATTATCTTACCTTTAAAATATATATTATAGGACTTATTTTATGATTAGATGATTATTGAAAACATGTTTAACTTAACAGAAAATTAATAAGATCTTATCTAATCATTAAAATAAACGTATAAACAACACAATTAAAACTTGTAACCACAGAAAAAATATATTTTTAAGAGGATTGAAAGTGATAAACATGCCCAAGTGTTTGGACGAGGATCTTATATATTTAATTAAGATTTCTATTAAAATGTCATCTTGTAATAGACAAGGGAAAAATGCCACTTTGCATAATTTAATTTGGTTTAAAACATCTCTTTACTGACCTGATGACTGGCACAGATATAACTTCTTATTTAATATATGGCATGGTGATTTTATTTTATTTTATGTGAAGAACTTTAAGGTGTTGCTTTTAAAAAGATCTATATGAATATGCTTTTTAAAACATAAACTTTCTTCCTGTTTGCTTTTTGTAAATTTAGTTTATGTTTTAATATGAAATTTACATGACATTTAATGATTTATTTTTGACTAAATGTGGACATATTCTAAAGACTAAATGCCAGAATAATGACAGCAGTAAGATGAGAGACATGGTGATTGTTGCTTGGATTAAATGACCGAAGGGGAACTTTTAATAACAGAGCAGATATTAAACTATGTGAGGTTTGCACTCATGTTCTGAAAGCATTTAAGACTTAAAGGTATAGAGGATGAACTGTTATTTCTGGGTGGATCATCAAAATAAGTGGTCCTCCTAACTGTCAATCATTCTGGTTTTATGTTGACGTAGGGCCGTCCAACGTTCTCGTCCCGTTAGC